AAATCTCTCGATTAAGGACACCTACTAAGTCTGTTTCTCAGCTGCTTCAAATCCGAAGCTATACTGTTCGACAAACCGTTTTTATGAGTTTTCGCAACCATCCCTTTCCAGTTTCCACAGGAAGCCGAAAAAAAAAAAAAAAAAAGCACAACAAAAAACGAAAAGTCTACTATTATCAAATACGAAAAGAAACTTTTCGTAATCGCACCTCAACTGAAATAACTGTACCCGACAATCAGAAGCAGAATGACTGCCACAGCAGCGGCCGGACCCACCCAGACCCAGTAGTTTGTGGCCTTCTTGCGTTTGAGTATGGCTTTAGGGAGAGAATCGGGTCCTCTGGGGCGTGGCCTTCTGTTTCTGACAGTATTTTCTTTTCGGTCCTTGTTCTTTTGTGGTGCTTCGATTTTCTCCTCTATCTTTTCAGGTTCGGCAACTTCTTCAGTGGCTTCAGCTACCGGTTCTTCTGAATCAAGAGCAATGGCTGAGCTTCCTGCCTTCTTCCTTGCCCTTTTCTCACGCTCCTGCACGAATCGACACATAAGAATTTTGAAGTTCAGAGCACAAAAATAATAATACTACCAATAATAATATAATAATAATTATTATTATTATTATTATTTTTAATACTTGCCTTGATCTTCTTCTCGGCTTCCTTTTGCGCCTTGGCCGCAGACTTAGCAGCCATCTTCTCCGCCTGCTTTCTCTTCCTCTCCTCCGCTTGGTTGCGCTTCGCAATCTCTTCCTCTCTCTTCTGCTCCTTGAGCTTCTTCTCGTCAACTTCTTCCTTTTTCGGGCCCAAACCCAAGCCCAATTCCTTCGGCTTGTCCCCCACAAAGTACCCATACTCCTCCTCGTCAGCAGCATCTTCCAAGCCCACCTCCTTTTTTTTCTTGCTGTTTCCATCTTTGTCGCTCTTGGGCCGGCCCATGGCTTTCTGGGCCTTCTTCTGCTCAGATGGTGGGTCGGTGGGGCCCATGGCCTCCTCCTTTGGTGGTATCTGCTTGGTGGCGCTCGGTTTTGGGAGGGCCTCAGATTTGGGCTGCACCACAGCTGGCGCTGCAACAACCTCGTTTCGGACGAGCGGTTTCTCGTTTGGGCCTCTGAGTCGGCCGTCCTTTGACATCTGGCGCATGTCGAGTGCCGATAGGCTCCTCTTCTCGTAATCGGCCCGGAAGGCTTTGTTGGTGTTCCAGAGGGACATGAAGTTTTCAACCTGAGCAGGGTCAAAGGTTTCGAAAATCGAGAAACTTTTTTGTCTGAGTTACATTTTGCAAAAAGAAAAAAAAAAAGTATATTTGGCAATTATTTATTATTTATTTATTGGACCTCTGTTTTGGAAAGCTCCTTCAAGGCATCAACTTCCTTGTTGGCTGCCAGAGCTTTGGCCTTCGTTAGGAGGGTTCGGTTTTGGTAAAACGAGGAATTCTGTAATTTTAAATGAATGAGAATTATTCAGCAAACGAAATTTCAACTTACTTTCAAGTGTCGATGAGTAAATTAGATTTCTCAAAGGGATCATCACAATGCATCGGTGAAATTTAGAAAAAAAAAAAATCTTTAACAGAGAGAAGCAATTTCGGTAAGTATCATGATATTATCCGAAAATGGATAAAATAACAATAAATAGATGTATATAAACCAGGAAAAAAATGTAAAATCTACACGAACCAACACATGCAAGGGCTTGAACGATATAAATCATTTTATGTATCATAATCACATGAAAAAAAAAGAAGCAACATACCCCTTCCTCTCGTTGTTTCCTCATATCCTTAATGGTTTCGAAAGTTTTATCCCTTTTTTCAGTAACAGCAGCTAATTCCCCTTCCAAAACATTAATATCTTTCTCTATAACCAATTTTTCCTCATCGAGCTGCTTAAGCTTGGCATTAATAACCTGCTTCTCTTTCCGGACACCATCAAGGTCAACACCTATCGACTGGAAAGCCAAAATCAAAAGCATATCATTGACCAGATAATCCCGAGTACAAATGAGCAAGCTGGTTGTTTAAGCAAAAATAAATAAAATAAAATAAAAAAAAGGGAAAAAAAAACGCAAAGATTGATTGTAAGCGAGAAGCTACTTACTTTGACCTGGCCCTGAATTGCCTCTTTTTGGCCTAATGAGTCTTGAATTCTTGCTCTCTCGGCAGCATTAGCAATCACCTTTGGCCTCGTGCCCTCGAGTTGCTTGATTTCCCTTAGGATTTGTTTCTCCTCAGTGAGAGGAATGCTTTCGTGCTGAATTCTGTACTGTAAACTTTTAATCTGAAAGAGGAAAAATTTCGGGCTTTATGTCTTACACAGAAACAAAGTAAAGTAACAAGCAATTTGAAAAATAAATAATAATAATAATAATAATAATAATAATAATAATAATAATAATAATAATAATAATGATAATAATAAGTAAAATGTATGCACGGAAACTTACGATATCGTTGAGTTCTTCCTCAGACGAACAAATGGCCGGGCCCTTCTCTCCACCACCAGAACCCCTCAGCTTGCCGAGGGCTTGCTGTAGAGGCTCCATTTCTCTTCTTTTCTCATCCATTATAGTCCTAAACTGTTTATTTTCGACACCTAGAGATCTTAATTGGGCTATCACCTGGGCTCGATCGGCCTGCAAAATATGTTTAGTTTTATATATATGTTTTCTCATCTTGTGAGAAAGCAAGCTTAAAATATGAAATCAAATATGCACTGTAACGTGAATGAGAATAAAAAAAATGGGAAAGCAAAGGAAAGAAAATGCCAACTGCACCAAGTCTTGAAATCTTAAGTATTTTATCGGAGGGTAAAACCAACAGTTAGTTGATTGCTAGCTGAAATAAGGTTAAGAGTTCTGAAAGCATCTTCTATAAAATCCGTTTCTAAATTTTGAGAGAGAAAATAAACAGAACAAGCATCCGCCACTATAATGAAAAAAACGAATAAAGAAGATTACATTTAAAAACAAGTGAAAATAGACGATGCGTCTCATTTTTTCTATAATAAAAAATATAAGATAATAATCTCAGCTCAAATAATTATCAACCTAATTCAAACAGCATCTGAATTTTCACATTAAATGGATCGATTTACTCAAATTTTACTACCAAAAATATCCTCGTTCTCTAATTTTCAAGACAGGTCACATTCAAAGATGCCATACCTTTCGTGTGTTTCTACTTTACTTATCTAGAAAAAAGTGAATGCTCAGAGTAATTCCATATTTTACAAGTAATCAAGAATACCAATATTTACCCTTTTAGCTTTTATTTTTTCAACGATCTGCAACCGAGCCTGATTCTTCTTCTGTAGCTCTTTCTCGGCCAAATCCAGTTTGGCCCTCAGATTCTGATCCTCCAGTGCCCGATACCTAACAACATAGAAAGAGTGTATCTTTGACTCAGGCCACTCGTCAACTGCATCCTTTGGGAAGTTTGACTCGGCCACATTATTGACTTCGACTTTGACCGGCTCATCCACACCATGAGAGCCGAAAGTTATGTTCACCTTTTTATTGTCAGTTGACCCGTTCGACTCACTCACATTCTCAACAATCGCAAAGCTAGAATCAGCTACTTCCACTGCCATGATGTTCAAAAAGCTCTACTGCAGACATATATGATAAAGTCATTTCTAACAATCACAACAAGTTAGTGAAAGAAGTATTTTGATATCATAATGAAAATATACATCGGGAGAAAATCATTCACGGAAACATATTTCGAATCCTAACAATCACAACAAGTAAGTAAAACTATATCTGTATCGATGCAAACTTATACATCAATCTAAGATGGTTATTTTCAAATTATCAAACTACCAAATCATTATTAAAAAAATAAAAATAAACCCCGATTTGTGTACATAGCACCATCAAAATTACATCAAACAAAGATGGAACACTTTCGATATAAACAAACGATAGAGTAAAACAAATTCCTCAAAAAA